GTGTTTCCGCTGAAGATGGGCGAGGTGGGGAAGCAGCTGCCATCGGCGGGGATGTAAGCGGTCGTGACGGCGATGCCGCTGTTGCAGCCTGGGCCAGAGTAGAACTTGAGAGGGATGGTGTCGAGGCGCTTGCTCATCTCCGTTGGGGCAGCGTTGATGCTGACGGCAGCGATGAGGAGGGCGATGGTGGTTGTGAACTGCATTTTGAAGGGTTTGTGGGGTTGGTCTGCTTGAGCGAAGTGTAGTGGAAGGTGTTAATGATATTGCTGTGATGGAGACTATATGATGGGTGATGCTGTAATATTTATACTTTGTCGTAAGGCTCATTTCCTGGGCAAGGTATGCCTAGCTGTTCACAAAGTTTCGTTAGCCTACCTCTGCTGACACGAAGGATGCCTCTTCGCACGGACGTCTCAACGAAGTTTGCATGGCCTATGGATCTCTTGAAGATGTTGGTGTGAATAGATACGAGGGCTGACGTCTGGACGATGTCGGCCTACGGCGCAGGTATAATGGTGCATCAAGCTCCCATATCCGACCCTGCGAGAGATCATTGGTCGTCCACTGGATAGGATTCTGGGAGGTCTGGCTCCAGGCCAAAAGAGGCGTTATTTCCAACACCTATGAGACTAGGCTGATGCTTTCGCGATGCTGTTGAGAGCTTGGGATGCACACTTTCGCCTCACCGCCAGTAGTCGATAGTGTTGGTGGTGAGCCGAACTTGTCCATCCTTCTCTTCTAGAAGGCTGATTCACCCTCGTGGGTAGGCCATATCCTTCTTAGCGCATCTTACTGTGCAATAGTTGTGTGACCTATAGGTACATGCTACTGCTCGGCTCACTCAGAAAGCGCAACACCAATTGCGAACACGTAACAGCATCCGGGATAAGGCCGCGATGAGTCGAACGGATCGTCGGGTCGACTGGTACCTGTTGGAGGTAATACAACAGTATGCAGATGGGAGCCGCCAAGGTTGAGGAGGATGAAAGGGTATGCATCGTCTGCATGATCCTGCTGCACCGCATCGTCGGATATGTGGACCTTGTATTCCTTGATGCCATTACAGTCTTCGCAGCGAGATGCTTTGTGAGCAACGTATGAGTACGTAGATAAGGTGACAGACGCTGGTTTTGCGGAAACCGACGTTCTCATTGCTAAGAAAAGGCTGTGAGCTCTCCGATCCGATGTGTTGCTCGATCTCCCGTAAGCATAACCCAACCTGTCACTGGATGTGGCGCATTCCGAGTGAAGCTGACATGCAAGTGATGTGACCAACCTGCATTTCCAAGCAGAAGTTCTGACGTTCGTTTGCCTGACACCAGCTATCGAATCGATGATATGTTTCTTTTCTCGTATGAACCTGGTCTGCTACCCTGGTAGGCGATCCTGCGAGGCTGGACGTCCCGTGCCGCTGACAAGGTCTAGGCTTTCCGAAGGGGCCGCATGGTAGCGGAAGCGCTAGGTTCCTTGGTGAGCCATACGGAAGCGATGTTGGTGAGATGGGCTAAGCGCGAACGATGGCCTGCAGGAGGTGGTGCAGGTAGGTGTAGATGAACTGTACTAGGGAGGCCACGATGCGGATTGAGACTGATCATTGAGACACGATCTCATCTGCACCTCTTTCGTAAATCAACATGGTCGCTTTAATGGCGTGCGTTCGTATCCGAGCACCAGGCGTAGCAAGTGCCATTGTAGTATTTCACCACTCAGATCAGATGTTGCCACCCCGTAACTATAGGCTAAATGCGATGCGATGCAGGACTGGCCCACGGACTTCCTCGCTTCGAAACTGCAGCTCGGAGATGCTAACGCGAACCGATGACTTCGTACCACGTACTTTTGTTGGTCGAGAGGTGAGCATCATGCCCGGTGACGCCAGAAGAACAGATGGTGGCTTCAAACCATCTTTCCATTGGCAGTTTCTATCCACATTGCTCCAGGGTCGAGCGAGGTGGAAAGCAACAGCAGAAGGCTTGCGAGACGCCAACACCCTACTGTCTGGTTGATTTGAAAACAAGGTTGACTTTGCGCGATGAAGTGGGAGATGAAGGTCCAAGTGGCAGATGTGGAAACGAGGCAATCTCGCTGCTTAGTCATGTTTCAGCGGCGGGGCTGCGCCTGCCGTTAAGGTTCGCTTTCGACTACGCACCTGACTCCTAACACCAGCCTGTAACATCGTCATAACGAGATACTTGACACCTTTCTAGCACTTCTATTTGCTCCCAATCTGCATGAACACCATAAGCACCGCCGCGTACGCCGCAGTCGCTGCCACCACCTCGAAAGGTTTATTGATGGTCGCGCCTGTCCCTAGTAAAGTGAAAAGGATCACGAACCCCGTAATAATCCCCAGCCGATCGTTGTTATCAGAAACATTCTGCATCCACCATAAAGGCGCAAGTAGCATAGAAAGTCCTAAGGCTATTATACTGAGTGTGGTGAAGCTCTCGAAGGCATGATCGCTAGAGTAGGATGTAGCGTCCGATTGGACATGCAGGTCCTCTACAAACTTCGCCTTGAAGATTCGCCATGTGTGTAGGGAACGACACGCCTCTAGCCAGCGGCCTAGTGGTGGACGAACTCTCTCATTGATCGATATCAAATCGCTCTTGTGTTTGACGAAACGTGTTTCTGACGCGGTGATGGCACCACGCTTCAGCCAGTTTTCGGCATAGTCCACTTGACGGGATTCTGTTCGTGGGCGTTTACGTATCTTGGAGAATGCGTCGATAAATTGATCTGTCGCGGTTAGTATTGTCGCGTTGTAGAACCTTTCGGTACTTACTGTAATGTAGGAGTAGACATGAGAGTTCGTTCATGATTTGGAAGCGGTCCGGTTGATATTTCTCATCCCATTTGAAGCTGGAGTTTTTCCCCTTTTCGTCCTTCTCATTCGCCTCATGAATCTCCTCCAATGTTCGTTCGAGCTCCGAGATCCGGTACTGCAAATACGCTATTGTTGTCGCATTTAGACTCTCAAAGCGCCGAAACACGAAAAAGTCGTCGTCTGAAGCCATCCACTTTCCAAACTCTTTGTAGCCCTCATACTTCCAGGCTTTCACAAACTTTTCCTTATCGGTTACCGATGCGTTACTAAGGGTACTTGCCGCTGGAGCGAGGTTCTGCATAGGAACCTGAGTAAACGTAGTGGGTATGCGTGCACCAGGACCTGGCAGTATAGGATCGCGAGTGCGAAATATATTTGCCATGGTGCCCGTCTGTCGCTGTGATCGAATGCCCGGGCCAGCACATTACTTATTTGTTTGATGACGGTGACACAAGGCCGGGCTGAGCTGCACACCCCGCCCGTCCAGGCAGTGCCATGTTACATACTACAGTTCTCATTGGCCGCCATCTAAGTCAAAATATGCACAGCCGCAAACGGAAAGCTGAAGAGGAGCCCACATCAAATATGCAGCGCATGCATACACTGTTCGTGTCATTCGTCTTATGCTTGACCGGAACACAACGCCACTGGTTCGCGCGTGCCGTCTCTGCGCCACATGTCTCCAGCACCGGGAAAGCTCACTTTCCAGAGCCTCACTGGAAGCGACCTTTTAATTTAATATGCATCTGACTTGCTGCCTCGCGGGGCAGATAAGAGTCCTCCTCCAGCATCGCTCAGCCCTGCTTGAAACACTTCGTCACGATTTACCTGACCGGAAATTATCACGATCGCATCGACTCAGACTTTATTGATCGCCCTGATAAGCTCAGCTGGTCTCAATCACATAGCCCGCTCACACGGCCCGCTCCGTGGGCAAATAACAAGTCATGAACCCGTGGAAGTCTAGCAAGGCCAAACTCGAAGCTGTCCAGGCATTTCGGCATGCCGACCAGAGGCATGATAGTAGATACGCCCCACAAGCGGAACCAGAAGATCCACTCGACCGACCTTTTGCTCCTGTTCGACCTGGTGAAGGGCAGAACTCGTCTTATTACGGTGGCTGGCAACCTCAACCACCGATGTCAGCACAGGGCTATTACGCAAACCCTACGCCAGCCCTTCCATATCCAGGCTACCATCAATCACCACAGGCCCCAACACAGAGTCTTGGTACACAACAGCAGTATGGGTCACCGCAGCAGGGTTATGAAAGCCAACAGCAAGGCTACAGCAGCCCTCAGCAGCCATCCTCACCCCCACAAGGTCAGGCCTCCTTCGCGCCCTTAAATGCAGACGGGAGTTCGTACCAGAGCAACCAAAGCTATCATCATAACAGTAATTACGGGCCGCCGCCTGCACTGAACGCCTCACCGGAGGCAGGTTTTCAATCGTCGCCACCAACGCACAGTAGTCCAGAGCCACCCCAACAAGCTCACACTCGCCTACCACAACGTAGCTTAACATACGACAACCGCTACGAGCAGCCATTCGCACCGCCCCAGCGCATACAGACTGAGCCTCCTCAAATAGCCCCACATGACTGTAATGACTATGGTCTCGCGTGAGTAGAGAGTTCACTATGCTGATCCTCAGTGCTAATATGCGGCATGCAGGATCCTTGGAAAGTGTACACGTTGTGGATATAGGCTATAGCAATTTACTGTGTTGTTACGAGAGAAAAGACCTGTACTACAACCATACCACATGCTAAATGTTATGCTTAATTGTCAGCGAGATCACTTAAGGGATTATCAACGGTTTCGAGGGTCTCCGAGCAGGCCGTGTGCTATATTGAAATTTTCGGAGGGAAGATTTCCATCGGCATGAACAATTCATGAAGGGCAAGCCCAAGAAATGTGTTACGAGAGCGGGAATTCATTGTTGCTAAGACGCGTCCCAGAACAGGCACCAAACTGCAACCGCCCGATGTGTGACCATAGCAAAGTATGCTCCCGTCTGATCACGGAACTTCGGCAATCGTGCTTGCGACATCAGCCTGAGTTTGCAAAACCATCAAGCGATCGATGCGCCAGCTGTCGTATGTGCTGATCCGTTGATTGCTGAGTGTTGGGTGTATACTTCTCTGAATTCCCCGATAATGGAAGGCGAGACAATGCGCAAGTTCTTCTCGAACCGCAAATCAGCTACAGGCCGTGTAGATCTCCGCGGCGGTAAGCGAAACATTTCGGCGGTGTCAGCACCCACTGAGCAAGCATTGGTGTTATCGTCAGCAATAGAGACCAGGTGAGTGACACTGATGTTCATTCGACCTAACTCTGACAATACAGTATGCCAACCGAAGCAGCCAAAGCCTACGGGCCACTGGTACTGAACGACCCCGATAAGGCTGCAGTGGAGTAAGTGCTGAAGGCGTCGCTACTGCCAGAAACCCTGCTGATCTCTAGCAGTATCGTCCTTATTCACGGCCTTGGTGGAGATCGAACAGGAACCTGGACAGAGCGTACGGCGGATGCCGAACGAATACCCTGCTTCTGGCCCAAGGACCTGCTTCCCATCGATCTGCCCGACGCGCGCATCATCACATGGGGCTATGCCGCAGCAACGATCAAGGCGCTGAATGTTGTATCGATTGCAAACCCAACGCAACACGCGGAGAAACTCTGCTCAGAGCTAGCAAGCCTCCGAGTTGGTGTCGTTGATCGCCCGATCCTCTTTGTCGCTCACAGTATGGGAGGTATAGTAGTCAAGAAAGCTCTTCTCAACTCGCAAGACTCCAACATCGACAGCATCGCGCCATTGGTAGACGATACACGTGGTATCGTTTTCATGGGTACGCCTCATTGTGGCTCGAAGTCGGCTGATATAGCCTCTTTCCTCGCCAAAATCGTTCGCGCCTGCATCTTTCAACAAGCCAACACTTCGATGATCAACGAGTTGCAGAGCCAGAACCCGCAGCTCAATGAACTTCAGGACCACTTCCATCGGTTGCTTGTCAAGCGCATGAAAGAAGATAGCGCCATAGAGGTGCGCTGCTTTTACGAGACACTACCTTTGGCCAGACTCGGAGATGTCGTCGTTCCAGGTTACTCGGCTGCTCCGCCCGTTTTCGAGGGTTCAGTGGCGGTGGATGCGAACCATATCGACATGACCAAGTTCTCGAAAGAGGGAGATCAGACGTACAAGAATGTACTGGCGGAGCTGCGGCGAATGATCGAGTTGACGAAGGACAAGCGTAGAGACGAGAATGACCTCAGCATGCAAAAAGGCGAAGTTACCCACGTCGGCAACAACGATCGAGGTGCCTTGGCCAACTACGGAAGTCAGACCATCGGTACGGGTAATGGAGGCTCAACCCATTACGGTAAGTGATTCTTGTGCCATGATTGGTTGTTGTGCTGATGATACCAGGAAATATTAACGACTTCCGGGGTTCCTGAGCCGGGTTTTGGTTTCCGTTGGTAGGAAGTAAAGCATGTGTTTCGGCGTGTCGTAAGGCGTTGGTGTGTAGTCGTATAGCGCATTCGAAATGGTCACACCAGCTCGATATCCACAAGCTGATCTTTGACATCTTGCCACACCTCTCCTTGCATAGCCCCATGTACATATGCATCGCCCATTACCTCCCATACTCTTCTCGCATCTCCATCGGAAATGTGCCGGTTTGATTCCCGTAAGACATAAGGAACATTGGCACCCTGCAGTAGCCACACTGCGTCCCCGGCTTCACAGCTAGTCGGCACCAGACCTAATAAGCCATTTCTAGTCCTAGCCAAGCGGCGAAATTGACCATTTCTGTTGATTGCACCACCAAATTTGTGGTCTTGCCAGTCACGCTCAATTTCTGCCTCGCTAGCTGTGGGCCCGAGGCGGGCTATGCGATCGCTGATAGAAGACAGAGAGGAATCTGGGCGATGAAAATCGGCGATGTAAGGACATTTGGAATTGAATGGAGGACGGCGCAGACATGTGCGGCTGGTGTCCATTTGTGTCAGGTTCGCTCCGCAAGTGCAGCTTTGCTGCTCCGTATGTCGGACATCAGCCCGAGATACAGCGAAGCCAGAATTATCGCCTTCGGAGAGCATGTCTATGTCGCGGAGGATTGGAGAAGCTATACTTTCGTAACCCGTTGTCGTCTCTTCATTATTAGGATAGTACAGCAAGCGATGGAGACAGCGGACGACCGAAGCGCACGTTAGTCGCCTCACCACGTGTTTGAAACGGTCCATGTCGGGTTGGTGGTCCAGAGGCAAATGACCAATGTCATTGGCGACCAGTGTGGTGGTTAATGCCTCGCATCGTGTTTGTCCTGTAGACCGATAAATTTTCGAAAGGTTTAGTGTAAGCGCGCTCCACCGAGGATCGAATTGCAAGCGCTTTCCGTGCCATGCCCATGATCCGGCAAGCTCCACAATACAGTCAATTTTGAACCCACGAGCTCCGAGCGCGCGGTCATCCATAGGCATAATCGTCAAGGCGTCCAATCTCGACCCCGAGGTAGCATTGTAGCCCACGCTTGCGGATGCAAGCTCTGATTGATAGGCCTTGTCTTCAAACTCTCCGACCCAAGTTGGAAATCTAGGAAACTTTCGTACCGATAGGTCGGTAACCCAACTCAGGCAGTTGAGGTTCTTCGTCTCATCAATGAGACAACGCAGCGCTTCGATATAAACCTGCTCTGGGCTCTTATGGTAATCTGCAGTTAGCCCGAAAGCCCCGCGAGGTACTATGCCTAATAACGCGAAGACCTTGTCTTTGGGATCTTCGCACCCGGTCATGCGGGCCAAAGCCAGGAGTTGCGCAAAAGTGAAAGGCAATGTCTTCTCTTGCGTTGTAGGCGGGTTCAGCAATCGCCATCGATTGTGGAATAGCTCCAGAATGGCCTTTTCATGGTCGTAGTGACGATTGTTTTTGACGGGGAGAGTCAGTGCTTGCCCAACTGTTTCGTGAAACCGATGCTCCTTGATCCATGCAACCAATAGCGCGACTCTTCGAAGTTCTGAAAAGTCCAAGATGTCCGTACCGCACAACATACGGATGTGTCGAGCAAGCATGACTTCCTGAAGTACCCAGCAGCGAAAGAAATACTTTCTTGCGAGAAAACGCGTCAAGCTTTCAAAGTCTTTGGCAGAGATCGAGTCGACTTTTGCTTTGTCGTCATCTTCCAACGCCTTCTTCATGAAGTCTCTGTAAATTGAGCATTGCTGATCCTCTTCCATATCGTCGAAACATTGCAGTTTGTTGAGGCGCCGCATGATTGGTATAGCTTGCTCACTATCCTCATCCGCAGGGCCCAGCCACGATATGACCAATGAAGCTTGGCTATAGATCTGAGCCATCAAGCCAACCTGCGTATTTCGCTCTTGAACATCGTCTTGATTGACACATAATTTGTCCTAGCGATCAGCGTCTACAGTTAGTCGGGATACCATATTTGCTTCGCACGGGGGGTTACGAACAATCCAGAGGAATTGTCCTTGGCAGTCGACTTCCTGACACTTTACGCTCACCTTGCAGATAGCCCTGAGCGCGCACTCCAAGTTGGCCGTAACATTGACGCGCAGTCCATTGCAGATGATGATCACTTCCTGCACCCATGTTGTGGACTTTCCTTCGTCGAACCAGTACCGATACAGTGGGTTGCCCCAAGTGTAAGACAACGCGTGGAACTTCGGGGTATTGTGCTCAAGATCAGTCAGGTGGAGTGTGCATGTGATAGGTTGGTCGTCGTTCTGTACTGGGTGAAGCTCGATGACGCGGATCGATGTCGCTGTCGGCAAGGGAGTGTACAGGTCTAGATGTCGCGACAGTGGCGCGTCCATGGTGCACATGTGGGGCTGCGAACTAGCTCTAGTTTCGCTGGAGCACAATCGGCCCGACAGCACTATATAGCATCAGTAGTAACCTTGGCATAAAACAGCAGTAGAATACCTTGAAGAGGACTTATGGATCTCGTTCCATGGTTGTCGTGTCATTTGGAGCAAAGTTGAATTTGTAATTGAACCTTGGAAAGATCCAAAGTGAGGCAACGCATTATCGTGCTGACCAAGACGCTAACCACATTGGATCGGTTGGGCAGCCGTGGAAACGAAGAACTGCACTCTGCGAGAAGCACCGCGACATGGCACGACTGAATGAATATCAACGAAGAAATAGATTATATCGTCCAACGTAATGCTACAGACTTTTTGTCAGACTGCGCCAGAAACACCCATCGATGCAATGCGAGTTTTTCCCTCTTATCTACGCACCTACGCATCATCACCCTTTTCCGCCTTCTTCTCCCTCCACTGCTCCTCAAGTGCCTTGACCTTCTCTACACCCTTCTTGTTACCAACACTGCTCTCCCACTCAGCCCACTTCTTGAACACACTCCGTATCCTCGACGCCTTTCCAACCTTGGTCATACGCTCAAACAGGTCGCGGACGTTGTCTGCGCTGCCATGGCTCTGCTCCAACATGAGGTACATATCCCAGACATCGCCTTTCTTGGAGAAGGTGTCGACAAGGCCCTCAAAGATGGTGCGGCCGCGTTCGGCATCGCCGTTGGGGCTCTTGAACTCGAGAGCGGCGAACTTTTGTGTCAGGTAGCGGTGTTGCGTTGATGCAACGGATTGGGTGGCGCGTTGAAGGAGAGCGCGAGCTCGTGTGGGAGAGGGTGGCTGTACGACGTCCATCAGGAAGGCTGCATATGAGAGCCAGAATTGAGGGTCGGGTGTGAACGACTTGTTCTTCATCATGGATTGGTAGAGGTTGTCCGCTTTCTGTTCTGGTATTAGCAAACTTCGCAAGGGTATGGAGATACAGCGGTACTTACGTCGATCTTGCCTGATGAGATGTAGATCTTGATCATGCGCTCATGCACTTCGCGGGCATCGTTGTTCTGGCACGCCTCTTTGAAGACTGTGTCCATAGCATCGTCGCTAGCGAAGTCGTTCTCAAGATGGAGAAGAGCGGTCCACACGTCAAGCTTCTCTTTCTCTTCCCTGGGGTTGATAGTCGCCAGTGCGCGACGGGCGACCTGGCGTGCCTTCTCGATCTCGTTGAGTTCGCGTTGGAAGACCATGTATCGAACCCACATTTCCGCGCTGTTGGGCTGTCCCAGGAGCAAGCGCTCGTAGTCGGCAACAGATTGCGGTCCATAGGCATCGAGATCACCAGTGCGGTCCTCTTTGATGGTAGCCTTCTTGCTCTTCTTCTTCTTCTTGGGGGCCTCGTCGTCGGAATCAGGCTCTGCAGCACCCTTTTGCTCATCGAAGTCAAGAGTAGCACCTGTCCAGTCGAAGCCAGAGGTGCTAAGCCCTTGTGTTGCCGCTTTTGGCGCATCATCGTCAGACTCGTCGTCTGAGACTCCTGCGTCTGCAAGCTCGATATCATCGTCGCTATCAGCACTCTTGACGCTCCTCATGTCTACGTCGTCGAGCTCGATACCGCCGTCTGAGTCACTTCCTTCTAAGGCCTCAACATCCGAGGCATCCTCCATGTCTTCATCCTCGTCTTCGTCGTCACCCTTGACTTCAGAGTATTTCAAGCTGAAGCTGATCTTTCGGGTCTTTGGATCGACCTTCAAAACCTTGGCTTTCACGGCGTCATCTTTCTTGTACATTTCCTTGACCTTGTCCTTGTCGACAGTAGTGTCGGCTAACTGAGAGATGTGGCAAAGACCGCTGACGTTGTTCGAGTCGTCAACCACCAGGAAGACACCAAAGTCTTCTACATGCCGCACCTTAGCAGCAACAACCTGACCAGCCTTCAGATCGCTGAACTCGACCGGCTCGGTGTAGGCTCCTTGGACGTGAGAGGCCTTCAAGCTCAGTTGTGGATTGCGCTGGTCTGGCTTGTTCGAGATGACCTTGCCAGTGACGAGTTGGTCGACATGGAAAGCAGACTTCCAATCCTTGATGTACTCGTCTGAGAGGTGGCTGACACGAACGTAGGCTTCGACATGCGGCCCTAGACGGACGTAGATACCATTGTTGGCGACGTGCTTGATGAATCCACGGACAACCTGATGCACTTTGAGCTGATCCCTGTCCTTGATCTCGGGGTCTTTGATCGGTAGTGAAGAGCTCAATACCCTAGAAGGCCGAATAGACAATCCCAGCTTCTTGTTTGGAAGGTCGATGTCGATTACACACACGCGCAAGACGTCGCCGACTTTGAACTCGCTAGGCTTGGCCTTGTCGTAGTCGTCTGCCAACTGCTCTTGGAATATGGGTGCAGCAATGTTGTCGTTGATCTGGACGACGATGGATGTGTCGTGTAGCTTTGTGACACGTGCAGGCAAGATGTGACCTACCTTCAAGTCTTGAAGGGTCAATGACTTGCCAGTCACATTGGTCGCAGCTGTTAGATCCAACTTTCCGGCTGCA